AGCTGTGGTCGTGAGGTCAAGGACTGCCTGCACTCCTGGCTTGCCCTGACAGTATTGGTGGGACTGTTGTTCTCTCCTTGGGGGCTCCCTGGTTGGGCTGCTGTTTGCTGTTGGATTGGTGGTCTGCGTTGGTGGTGCCTAATCTGTGTTGTTTATAACGCCTGACCAACAACCGAGCCCAACTGAGAGCAACCTACTTGTGTATCAAGGGGGAGCAAACCCCACTGTCAGGTTTGGAAGCCATATTGAGATTCGATGCTCCTAAGCTGCCACAATTTTTCCTGGGAAAGTGGGGGTGGTGGAGGGAATTAATTGGAGTGTATCTAGACAAAATAAAATTCTTTTGCTGGTTCAAGGTCACGTAGTGTTGCGCATAGTGAAAAGGAAGTCGTCCTTTGGGACGGATGGTGATGGGATGTGGTGATGGGTTCAGGGGATGGATTTGTAGTATTTACTTATTGTAAGGAAGCCTGGAACTTTCAGATACGGAATTCCAGATGTGCCAGTTACTATCCAAATAAAAGGAACTTTTCAGAGATATCTTTTGGAGTTATTGGGTGGAATGAAGGGTTGCTACAATGCTGACAGCCACTCCCTCCCAGCACCGATGGTGTTGCCTAGTCGGGTAACGAAAGGTCTGCAGGAAGTCAGTCGAGCTCTGAGAGCACCAAAGGCCCCACAACCAGCATCTCTCGGCCACAAAATCCGAAAGGATGCGGCTGCTCCAGGAATTCTGGGCACAAACTGACCCACAAAGCCAGGGGTGGGGAAGGGCAAGACGGCGCCTACCTGTTTACGGTGTCCTGGATGTCCTGAAAGAGGAGAAGAGAGAAATGGGTGCCGGCCCTCGCAAAGGTTGCCGATCCCCCCTCCGCCCCCTGGGACCCTCTGCTCCCCCCTTGAGGCCAGCAAGGGCCCCCCCACCTGCAAGAATTCCCCATCCGGCTGGCGGCACTTCCTCTCCGTCTGGGCCATCAGCTTCTGCAGGCGGGAGGCCTCCCCGGAGAGCTTGGCCAGGGTCACCGCCCGCTCGGCCTCCATCTTCTCCTCCTGCTCAGTCAGCCAGCCAAGGTGCCTCTCCCGGAGCAGCTCCTGCAGGGACTCCAGTGCCAGACCCACCTGCTGCTTCTCGGCAGCAAGTAGCTCCTGTGGGGCAGAAGAAGAGGGGGGACTCAGAGGGAGGGGGGAGATTTCCCAGCTGCAGAACCAGCGTCCCTGGGGGGCTGTCTCCTGCCCCCTCCCCAAGAAACCCACCTGGCACTCCTGCCGGCTCTGCTCCTCGGCCTGCCTCTGTTCCAGCAACTTCTGCTCCTCCTTCCTCAAGGGCTCCAGGAGGCCATCCAGCAAGTCCTACACGCGGAGGAGAGGGTGCCATTCCTGGGTCCCAAATGGCAGCGCTCCCACCCAGAGGGGACCAGGGGGGACCCTGTGCCACACTCAAGGAGAGGCCCTGCTGAGGGTCCCAGGGACAGGCAGGGGCCCACGAGGAGGAGAGCAACTGAGAATTGGTCTCCCCCACCTTCTCCTCTCTCGCTGCCCAAAAAGAGCCTGGTTCTCTTCTGCCATTTTTTTAACTTGGTAGCTCTTCCCATCATTCAGGGGACTTTGGGTGACCCCTGATGCAGTGCCCCAGGGAGTTGGTGCCTACCTTGTACCCCTTTGCAGCTTCAGGCAGAGAGAGGAGGCGGTGGCCCTGGTGCCCCTCCAGACAGCCGGGGCAGAGGAGGCTCTTCTCGCGGGAGCAGAAGCTCTGCAGGGGCTGCCCGTGTTCCTGGCATAGCCGTTGGCCGCTGCTCTCCTCCTGGGCTCCCTCTGACAGCTGAAGCCTCTTCACCAGGCAAACCATGTTGGCCAGGGCCCGGTTGAGACAGGCGCTGCTGGGCTCCACCTTGGCTCTGCACTGGGGGCAGGAAGCCTCAGGGCCCAACTGGGCCAAGCAGTCGCGGCAGAAGTTGTGCCCGCAGGACAGAACCATCGGCTGTTCGAAGAAGTCCAGGCACAGCGGGCAGGTGGCCTCCTGGCCCATCTCCCCCAAGGCTGCCTTTTCCCCTGAGGTTGCCATGGGGCTCTTCAGTCCCCTTTCCTCCTTGGCTGAACCTGGAAGAGAAAGCTGCTCATTGGCTCCTTCTGGGACAGCGCATTTCTCAGCCCCTCCCCCAGAGAACAGAGTGCCCTGAAGCCCTCCTCCAATTAAATGGCTTCTTGCAAAAGGGGGAGGGGTTGCCCAGTAGCCAGAGGAGCCAGAGAAGAGGACAAAGGAAGCCCCCTTGGGGTCTGGGGCGGCCTCTTTGGGCACCCATCCGGTCGCTTTGGTTCCCTCAAGCTCAGCCTGGCCAGACCTCCGGCTGACGTCGTGACGAGACTACAAGCAGCGAACGAAGGTTTCCGTTCCTGCGCTGGCTTCTCGCCATTTGTGGGCTCTGGACGGAGCTGAAAGCCGCCTTGGAGGGGCAGCGAAGTTAAGGAGAAGCACTTGGTGAGGTTCTGGGGGAGAACACAACTC